TTCGTGACACCTGATCCCCTAATTCTACGTATCGGTTCGTGACACCTGATCCCCTAATTCTACGTGTCGGTTCGTGACACCCGATCCCCTAATTCTACGTGTCGGTTCGTGACACCCGATCCCCTAATTCTATGTGTTGGTTCGTGACACCCGATCCCCTAATTCTACGTGTCGGTTCGTGACACCCGATCCCTTAATTCTACGTGTCGGTTCGTGACACCCGCTCCACTAATCTCATTCTATTAATTCCTCAAGCCTTCTTTTATACCAAGGCATCATCAATCTCATTACTTTAGTTCATCAAGCCTTCTTTTATACCAAGGCATTATCAATCTCATTACTTTAGTTCATCAAGCCTTCTTTTATACTAAGGCATCATTATTAACAAGGGGTTTTCAAGATTTGGGATTCAATAGCTTCATCATGCTTATTTCATCACAATTATATAATCACATTCATGCAAGCCTACAATTAAGCATATAGAAGACTTACAATACACCCAACACATATCATTCGCTATTAAGAGTTAACTACGAATAGTATAAAACCATAACCTACCTCCACCAAAGATTCGTGATCAAGCAAGCAATTTTTCTCAAGGCTTTGTTTTCTCTTCGTTTTCCTCTTATCTCGATCGATCCTCTCTCTCTCTTTGTTCTTTCTATTTTCTTTATTCAAACCCTCTTTCTTTTACCCTAATTAGCATATAATTAAGAATAAAAGATGGCAATAATAACCCACTAATTTACTCAAGGTTACCTCTTTTAACCCCCAAGTAATTAGACTTATTAACATTAACCCACTAACTTTATAATTAAAGCAGGAATAGTCAAAAACGTCTCTTAAAACATTAAAGAAATCCGACTCCGCCTGGAATTACGCAGCCTGTAATGGGCCGTCGTGCCTGCGACGGTCTGTCCTGCTGCTCTGTCACAGAGTTTAGAGACTCAATTCTCTAAAGAGTCTGTGACAGTCCGTCCTTCCATTCCGTTACGAAGTTCAGAGAGTCGATTTCAGTACCCATTTTTCAGAATTTCTAAGTGTTTTGAGACGAGACCCCCTCGACGGTCCGTCGTGCCATGACGGTCCATCGTGGGATCCGTCGTCTCAGCCAGTTTTCCAGAAATAAAATCTGCTGCTCAAAACGACTAAACAGGTCATTACAACTAATCAATTATATTAATTCAAATTCATGTCATATAATACGATCTGTTTAGGGAGAATTGCTCCTATATAGGATTTTAGATCTCAATCAAAAAGCTCATTGAGCCTTCTCCGTTATTAAGGTGACCAGATTAACTCAAATTTATGATATTTTAAAATCACTAGATTAGAGAAAACGAGTATGATGTTCTCATCATAATTATTCATGAGTACTATATATTAATTTATTTATTTTTTGTGTGTATATATATACATAAATCGAATCAAAAACAAAGTTCGAACCCACAAAATCTGCCTTAAATCTATGAGATCCCTATAGGCATCCCAAACCTTTAGCATCAGACTCTTTCATGATTCTAAGCCTTTTACAAGAACTAATAAACATATCCAATGGTACATCTCCAACAAGCATCCAATCACCATCTTTGTCTTCATATGTTAATACATAATCAGATCCACTAGTAGTGTAGCCTTCTTTTTCCAAAAATACACCTGAAAAATTATAATCCAATAATAAAACATAAGTACATTATTTTTAACATATAGTTAATTTTTATGTGAGTGAAGTGAAAATTCAGACGCATTAACCTAAAATTCTAAATTTGTCCCTGATCAACCTAACCGGCCTATTAAAATATGCATTGACTATCAAAATTGATGGATTGATTTTGATTCACATTAATTAAAAACATAATATCACACGAGATAATTTGAAATTCTATATCCGACTCAGTGACCAACCATTAAAAGAGTTTTGTGGAAGTTAAAACTCACCAATGGGATGCTTGAACATGTACTCCAAAGCTTTGAGTAATTCTTGATAATTTTTGTAAACCCTAAGGTCAATTTTCCTCAAGTAAGGTGCTCCATCCATGCTAACTTTCACATACATTCCTATGGAAATATCAATTGAATTCTTGGCTTGTACACCAACATTCTTCCTGCAAGATCTTACTGGTGGCCAACCAACAATTTGTACTCTGAAAAAAATAAAAAAAATTGTTAATTTCAAACCCTTTTAAATGGAGAATTCGAATATATAAACTTCAGTTCCAAACAAGTTAGGGTAACTTTATGAGTCTAATCATTTTGTTTTATTTACTCTTAACTCATGAGTCCATATACTCATAAAAATAACTATAAGTATTTCTATATATTTTCTTTATAACCCTTGAATGAAATAATATTAATGTGAAAAATCAATAACACAACTTACTTTGGTGGAGGGGAGGAGTCTTGTTGATCATTTTGATTTATAATATCTGAGGAGCTGTCCATCTCTGATAAAGATCTTTTATTAGTAGTACTAGTCGAAGATACACGTGTCTTCGATTTATCTGTTGTACCGGGTAACCCTAATCTCAGCTCAGTTGCAAGATCATTATTCTCGTAGATTGTTGCCATTTTCAATATTCTTTGATATTATATGACTGTATATAATATATCGAATTTGATGAATACTTTGTTGTTGATGACCCTTTTTTTTTCTCCGGCGTATGTCCGGCGACGTCGACTTTTTTCCGGTGAAGAATGTGTTGAGCTATCAAAATGTGAATGATGAATGAGAAGAGGAAGATAAGTGTAGCATTATATAATATAAAAATGATTAATAATTAGGATGACATATAATTAATATGTAGAGGACTTATTTTCTTTTGTGCATGAATTTCATAAAAGGGAAAATAACTCCTTCACGCTCCTTTTTAGCGCGTAACAATACAAAAATCATATCATATTTTGTATAATAAAATGAAACAAATATTTCAATATACCTATATCAGATCGAAACGAGAATTTTAGGTTCTTTTGAACTAATTTATGATGGTGTAATTAGGCTTAAGACCTAATTTAACATGCTATCAGAGTTAGTTTGTTGAGTTTGTTGTAGGGCTCCGGATTGCAGGGAGTTTGTGGAAATACTCTCGATCCTTGAATGTCACACTCTAGATCGAATAGTGAAACTTCAAATAAATAAGGGAAAAAGAACAAATATACCCCCAAACTATCATAAATAATATACACACCCTTCACCACACTTTAGGAACATTGATCGTCTGTATTCCAAAAACTCGACATCAAATCGATGGATAAGATTATATCACGTGTCCCTATTTAGTCGTCTGTTACAGTAAAAGGCATACACGATCTATTTTTCGAACGGTAAGAACACCAATATTCCAAAAGTATAATGAAAGGTATCTACGTGTCATTAACATTATTGATCGTATAAATATTTAAATTATCCGCAATTGTTAGAGACGCAATGTAAATTGCGAGTTGGTATGGAGTGATCAGGTAGGTGTCATTACACGCTAACTCTGATGCACGGCAATATCTAAATGACAGGCAAAATTACGTTGATATGATGTGAGACAAGGGAACAATGAAGGGACAACCCCATTAACATAAAGTACTAATCGTGGCGGAGCCAGAATATTTATTTTACGTTCTTTATTTTAGTTTGTAAGTTTTTTCTTTTTATTTCATTTTAAATAAAATGTTTCTTTTCTTTCTAACAATTGTCTAAATTTTTTTTTCATGTAACGTGTTTAATATTATAAGATTAAAAGGTATTCTAATCAGAGGTGGATCCACATGTATAGGTAAGTGTACGCGTGAATTCGCTAACTTTCGGAAAAATCATGCGTATATATGTATACCTATCTTAAAAAATCGATAGTTTCTAGCATATAATTAACCGTGCACTCATAAGGTCAAAGCAAAAACACCTAAATCAAAATAATCTTGGTAAACTCGAAGTCTTATTTTGGGTTAGATTCAAGTTAGAGCTAGCCCTATGACATTGAAAGTTTCGCTAATATCTGAATTAAAATAATATTGATATACATATTACATATCTTCAATTTAAAACTACAAAAAATTTCATGATTTTCTTTTTAAAATTTTATTGACAAATTATTCAAAATATATTATTATTGTTATTATTGTAAAAAAAAAATTAATGTTGGAAAGGAGGGCCAACCTTCATGTGACATAGGTCCCAACTATGTCTGTTGATAAAGGGGCATGGACATATGGGATTTGTGATTAATATATATGACCTACCATTATTAATATTTTTTTGATTTTTTCATGATTTTCTAGGCCAGATGTCTAAACTCTTTGATTAAATATTTTTGGGACATAGTTTACCAGCCATGAACGTGTGAAAATATACATGTCCAATTTATAAGCATTTGATTTAATTTTATAATCGATCGTGTTTAAAAGCAATTAATTTTATATGTCCATCTTATTTCTATTTTTATGAGGTAAAAGAATTATTTATTATAATGATTTTAAATTAATATGCTTATGAATATTTAACATTTTCTAAAAATATAAAAAAAATTAGATATAAATTTCATTTCAACAACGTATATAACCGAGGAAAGTTTAGGGATTAATAGAATTACTTAAATTAATGAATTAACAATGAACATGATCTTTTTTTTGTTTCGCATTTCACAGGCGGACCTATGTAAAAGAGAGGAAAATTATTAGCAGTTGATTTTATTTTATAATTGATGATGTTCAAAAGTAATAAATTATATGTCGATTTTATTTCTGTTTTTATTCATATGAGGCAAAATAATTATTTATTATAGTGATCTTAAATTGATATGCTTATGAATATTTAAAAAAAAATTAGAAATATCTAATATTTAAATACAAATTTCATTTCGACTACGTATATAACCGAGGAAAGATTAAGGATTAATAGAATTACTTGAATTAGTGAGTTAATAATGAACACGATCTTATTTTTGTTATACATTTCAGAGGCAAACCGGTATGTAAAAGAGAGGGAAATTATAGGACTTCGTTAGCTTCAAAAATAGTTCTTTCTCTCTCTCTATATATATATACACACACACTTTAAGATCTTAACAATTGATTAGACACTTTAAACATGAATATTGACTAGAGGTTTTGTTCGAATTTGATTCAAAACTACAAATTTAACAATATGATTCACTCAATATAAGGATTGTATTAATCAAAACAATGCGATTTGATATAACAGGTAACATCCATAATACGTAGATTTCTTATAACCACACATATGAAATCAATGATCAATTTATTTAATTAAAAAAGATACACACGTGTGGCGCGACGTATTAAATGTTGATAGGTGAGATGTGGGCCTCCCACACGTGTAGTTGAGTATTTTTGGATCCTTTTTTTAAGTACTTATTTTCTTGTCTGTTGGTTTGGGTTTCATTTGGGTCAGCCCAATACCTATGGGCCCATTATCATGAGCTTATGTCCCTTCTTCCCTTAGGGCCCATTAAATGCATGGGTAAATAATTATTTATTTTTTTTAAAAAAAAAAATAATAATAATTGAAGTTCCACGTGGAAGTCGATTTTGACCCGTAAATGTGCACCCATCCCAAACTATTCAAATTTGGACTCAATGACTTATCGTTAATCGGTTAAAAAAATTAAGTGTACATAAATCATCCTATCTCAAAAATTTGAGTTCAAAGATTAGCGATGGATAAAATGTTTTAGTTAGGTTGTACTATGATTTAATTTCAATTTATGTTGATCCAAATAAATTCGGGGATGATAATTTGGTCAATCCTCAGGTTTATTATCATACACTTAAGTTTCGTTACAAAGTTTTTCGTCTTGTGGTCCATTATATAGGTTAGTTTGTCCGTCCTATGAATTATTACCTCAAATTCAATAGCATTTTTAATAAATCGTAAAAGAATAAGAATAATGAAAATTTCAATTTAACTAAGGACAAATACTTGAACAAAAGAATTTTGAGTTTAAGAATTTTCAATTTATATTGATTTAAGTAAACTTATGGATTATAGCTAGGGCACGTACTATTCGCCCTTGGAGTGGTTTTTTAATCTATTATGTATGAATATCATGTGACAAGACTGATGATTGTACCTGGTGTTTGGTTAAACAAACATTCAAACGTATCAACACGATAATAATAGATGACCAATTATATTTATATGAATTAGACTTAGTTGGATCAGTAAACTTTCGATGTGAATGGTTAAACAGAGAAAAAATGGTTGGAGGAAGTGATGAATATATGGAATGTCACACACTAATGAATGAATAAATACTTATCTTTTGTAAGGATTGAACAATTTCTCTCCTCTTGATCGCTGGTTTTTAAAGTGTGAGTTAGAATCAAATCTAATTTAATATGGTATTAGAGACAAACCCGATATGGACTCACCGACCAAATAGTGAAACCTCGAATAAAGAACGTTTGTATACGAGCGTGAGGAGTGTGTAATAAATGGAATGTCTCACATCACTGAATCAATGAAATACTGAGATCCTTATACGGCTTGAATATTAATTGTGAAATGATTAAGATATTCATATCCTTAATCAGCGTCTCAAATTCAAAATATGAAAATGAAAAGAAATTCATAATGAGTGTTTTGTTCCTCAAAATAGGCACGACTAATATAAATTCAAACTAATTAAACCATCGACCAACAGTTATGTGTACAAGTATCATATCTCATCATATACTACTAAAAGTGGGAATCTAAAAAGTCGAAAGCTAAAATACAATTTTACCCCTACACTAAATTAAATATAATGAATATTTAGTTAATTACATTATTAAAAAAATATTAGTGATAATTAATTACTACATTAAGTAAATGGAGATTTCATGTGTTTGAAGGAAGAATTTTTACTCTTCCAGATTTTAATGAGGCTCATTTGCATATATTTTATATTTTTAAAGTTGTTCTCTTTTATTTATTTTGGTCCTTTGAAACCTTCAAAAATTCAATGAAAAACTTTAACATGTTTTTTTGATATTCTTCTATTTTTTTCTATATAAATTTATCTTTTTTGTTATATGAAACTCACATTCAAAATTATCATTTTCATTTTATAGTTAAAATAGTAGAGCCAACAAAATTATCCTTAGTCTAATTATATATCACTTTACGAATATAAATTGGTGTTTGTATTTGATTCATGTTTTTGTCCGACTCGATGAAGAAGACTTTTTGAATTTTAATTGGATAAGAGATGTATCTACAAAGAAAATTGGAAAATTATGTACCGATTTTGTATTTCTTTTTCTATTATATAACTTTATGATTAAAGTCTTAAAGAAGGATGCATATATGATTTTTTTTCTTCTATGTTTATTTTTTTATATTTCTCTATTAGTCTTTTTAATTTAATTTTCTAAAAAATAATAATATTTTCATAACATTTATTTGAGATTATTACATTTTAATACTTATTACAAGTTACACACTTATTTTCATTGAATTTTAATTGTCCTAGCAAATTTATAAATATTGCATAAAAAACACATACAACACACGCATTTATAAACTAATTTAATATATAAACATAAATAAATATAAATAATTTCCATCAGCAATGATGATTGACTTATGATCATCATTTCTTGACACACAAATAGTAGTATTTTATTTTATTATAATATACTACTAACAAATTCAGACTTTGTTCCTATGATTCAAATATAGTTAAGATCGAACTAAAATAAGAATTTATCTTCCAATCTCATGAGGTAGATTGATCATAGGGGTGAATATATTGCTCAAATTATAATGCATATGAATTTTTATGATCTTTTACAATATATATATATATATATATATATATATATATATATATATATATATATATATATGTATATAACTGGCCTGATACCTATTCACTCACTTGACCCATTCGTATTCAATATGCCCGACTATCGAGGGAAATCCACCTCTTAGATAAAGACTTCAATCGCCTGAAGATAGCACAGAAAGATAAAAAAAGTAAAATCGACCGTGAATACGATAACTGATATATCAGAGGTGTCCTTCCCGATCCTCTCGTAATAGGTATACTAGGGTTTGAGGAGAGGGGTTAATTGTGGGATGCCCTACACATGAAATAGGGTTTGACTCCAAGGTGACAAAAACCCAACAAGTTCACATGCAAGCTAAGAAATGAATATGTGTGTGCACATGCTTTTATCCCCATTGTGTTGGGTCCTTTGCCTATATATTCCTAGTATGTTCTTCTACATCTTTTATCCTCCCCCCCCCCCCCAACCCAAACACACACACACACTAAGGTTTGTTTTACAGAATAAATAAATGTGAATTAGATGATATTGTTTTTATTCAAATTTTTCTAAATGTATTGACTTTTTACAAGTTGAAAAAATAATATGAATAGTTTGGTGATTCAAGCATCACGTTATATTAAGATTATAGAGGTGTGTGAAAGAGACAATGTTGTCTTTTAAGAGAAAAAGTGAGTGAGCAGTTGATGCAATTAGAAGGAATCCAACATCACAATTTTACATCATTATTTTATACCAAGTCAAAATTTTTATTAAAGAGTTCTATAACATAAAAAAGTAAATGTTTAAAAAAAATTCGAAATGATTCCTCATTTAATTTATATTCATAAACAAAATTTAATTATTATATAAAAATAAATAATATATTTTTTTATCATTTCTTATTTATTGGTTTCCACACACAACTTCATGAAATCATCAATAATTAAGTTGATGGGAATAATTAAACAATTGAGAATAATAAAGTATTGAAAAAAAATTAAAACTTTTTATTTTTAATTAAGTATAAACACCCACGATGTAAATACGAAAGGCAAGTTAATGCATGAGACTATAACACTATGTTTGGATCATTGTTATTTATTATATTGTATCGTTATTACACCTACAATGTTTGTTTTAATTGTTACTTCAAATGTATTATACTGTATTGTTGAATTCATTGTGACATAACAATGGTAACCCCTATTTTATGAAACAACCAATTTGGTGTGTTCTAATTGTTATTTAATTTCTTTTTCCAATTATATCTTTACCTAATAGTTCAAAATATTATTTTACTCGTTACCTTAATTATTTGAACATAGCCAAACCTCTTATCCTAGAATAATTAAAGATAATTTAATAAATTTATAAATTACAATACAGTATGATACAATCAAACCAAACAATTAAAATCTTATTAAATAACAACAAAAATACAATTTAACTAAATATTATATCTACCATACAATACAGTATAATATAGTACAATATATTATAAAATAATGAATAATAATGATACAAACAAAAAAAGCGTAAATTAAGCATATGATAAGATCAAATTATAACCCAACAAGATATAAAAATCCAGCTCATAAACTTTAGCAAGTGTCAACAAATCATTTATCAAGGTAATTGAAGACAAAAGCAACCCATTCCCCACCACCTAATTTAATATGCCATATATTATTACTCTTTTTAGCACAAACACACCCTTCTACATTTCATTCAATTGTTATTTCTTTGTCTCCTTTTATTTTTCACAATAGATAGTTTCTTTTTTGGTAGCCACTAGCTTGCTAGTAATTTAGTATTCTTTTCGTTTTATTTTATATGATATAATTTTTTTAATTTTCATTTATTTCTTAAAAGTATTTTTAAACTATTTAAAAATAACTTAATTTATCCTCCCTTAAAATAAAAAAGGTTGATTAATTTTATTCTTAAATTATTCAAAATAGCATAATTTTATCTTGTTTTCTAGAATACATTTTATATAAACTAAAAGTCTTTCTTCCTAGACGCAAGATATACATTAAAAATAATGCTACATTATATAAATATTATTTTATGAGGTTTGGATGAATCCTTTGCTCCCTCGATTTTTTATTTTGTGTATAGTCAAATATTGTTATATAAAATAAAGGAGTGGGGTAACAATTAAATAAACCCAATCTAGTTGCTAGTTTATCTCCTTTCTCTCCACCCTATATATTTTTAACTCTCACTTTTCTATCTCAAACCAAAAGTACTCTTAAAAAAAATAACAAAAAATGAGTAGTAATAAGTTGGATTTTGAGGAGACAGAATTAAGGCTAGGGTTGCCTGGTGGAGCAAGAAAAAATGTTTATGGTGATAATGATACTTGTAATGTTAATGGTAAAAGAGGCTTTGTAGATTTGAAGCTTAATCTTTCTTCTGATATTAACAACATCAAGAATTCAACACACAAAACCCCAGCTGCCAAGTATGTGTCTTTAAATTGTATCTTTTTCTACTTTTCCAAAAAACAAAAAAAAGTATATAAGTAAAGAAACGTTAGGTGATTTCTGTCCATCTATTCGAATTTTCATAAACATTAAGTATTCACGTTGGTGTGAAAAAATAGAGAGTCAGAATTTTTGAGTTTATGAATTTAGAGTATTTTAGAAAATATAACTATTTAGTAGGTTTTGGAGAAATTTTCTATAAACATTATGTGAATGTTTCGAGTATAAATATAGAGTTTATATTGAATTTACTCATGAGCTTTTCGAATTTATAAGCAGAACTGTAATTCTGTCCTTGGATTTATGAGAGGTAGATAGGTAATCATGGAATAGATAGAGTTTCAAATAAACTTTTTATCGATGTATTGTGTTCATTTCCTATATAGTTAAGACTCTTTAAAAATAATGTTATATTCATATTAAATTTTTCAAAAAATACCCTGAACACATAATTAGTAATGTTTCCTTAAGAATTCGTTCATATAAACTTATATTATCATTGTATATGATTCCTTTGAATTTATAAATTCAAATTATCAGGGCACAAGTTGTGGGTTGGCCGCCCGTAAGGTCCTTTCGAAAGAATATTTTGACTTCTCAAAAGCTTGATCGAGAGAATGATAATATTTTGGTGAAGGTGAGCATGGATGGTGCACCTTACCTTAGGAAAGTGGACTTAAACATGTACAAGAGTTATCAAGAATTATTTGATGCCTTAACCAAGATGTTCAATTCCTTCACTATTGGTATGACATATTTACTTTTTATATTTCCTATGAATTTAACCCTTTATCATGAACAAATTTAACATTTTAAGTTTATAGATCCAACAATTAAGTTTTAGATGAATAATTGATTTCTTCATATATGTATAGGCCAAAACTACTCGTATTATTTGCTAAATTCGTAACTGATACTTTAACTAGTTTCACTTATATAATTTATATACCCCGAGAATACAAAAATAATTACACTTTAAGATAAGTACAAAAAGTGAATTTTAGTTATATTATATTATTTGTAGTTGCACGAAGTCATCTTTGTCCAAAAGAAGTTAATTAACACTTTTTTATTGAAAAATTATGTTATGCGAATAGTTCAGAGCTCAATTTATTTTTATTTTAATATATGTTATACTATATTATTTTGATTTTCTTAGATTTTTCGATGTTTATATTTTCTTTTATATTTTGAATTTTTCCATTAAAATTTTATTTTTTACCAACGCTTTGATCACCTAAAAAATAACCATAAACAATTGTTTATTGAGGTTAAACTAATCACGTGAAAATATTAAAGATAACCTATACAGAATAAGTGCTAAATTATATTAATAAATCATAAACATGGAACTTCATCAACTCCAACACAATTTTTATATTCTTTTGGAGCTAACATAACAAACTACGCGAGTCTCCCAGTGAAGCCAACATAAATTCAAATTGAACAAAAAATAAAAGGAAGTTTAACTATTCTGGTATACCAAACCACTTGTTTTGAAACTTAATGTTCTAATCAAAGCATATAAATTGATAAATAAATTTATATGTCAGCGTATATAAATTAAATTTTTATTTTTTGATATCTTATAACTTGTATGTATATGTTTTATTACTGACTAAAATGGAACTGTGAAATAGTCCAAGGAATGAAAGATTTCATGCATGAGGGGAAACTGATGGACCTTTTGAATAGTTCTGATTATGTTCCTACCTATGAAGACAAAGATGGTGATTGGATGCTTGTTGGAGATGTCCCATGGGGGTAAGACTTTGACACCTCAACTATATAATATATTTAAAAAAATGTTTTATATGTATTCAATGGTATAAAAAATAGTTATAGTTTAAGTTATTTATAAGGTAGATAATAATTGATTATGATATGATAAAGATTTTAATTAACTTACTATCGCATGTTAAATTATATTAATGGCGTATATAAAAGTGTTTTTTTTATTGTGAACATGCTTTTTTTAATATAAATTTATTTGTCACTATACCTTATAACATAGTACATGTATTGTCTCCTTCGGCCTAATAGAGCTTACATATTTATCCTTTGTTTTATGCTATTATCGAAATTATAAATGTGTATATGTATCATGTAAATTTATATTATTCTTTATAAAATTTTTCAGTTTTCTCTGTCATTTCAATGTGAAATTCTCCCGAGGCATGTTATCTGCACCCTTTTTCAAAAGTTTATCAACCTAAAAATCTATCTCGATTCATCTGTGACCCGTCCTCCATCATGGGCATGACACTATACTTTCATTAAACAGGATGTTTGTTGATTCTTGCAAACGCTTGCGCATCATGAAAGGAACTGAAGCAATAGGACTAGGTATGATATATGATGTATGATATATATTACTCATTAATTAATTACTATTTTATTGTTATTTATTTTATCTTTGGATTAATTTGTTTCAAAACTGTTCTAGTTAATTAATCAAATAGCTTACTTTGAGTATTGTTGATATTGATCATAACATTGAATTATTTTCCGAATTTAATATTCAGCACCAAGGGCTATGGAGAAGTGCAAGAACAGAAATGGATGAAATCAAGTTAACCTTTTTAAATGAATTTCATCAATCAAAATTTCATCGATTATAGTAAATGTTTATTCGAATTGAATAGTGTGTTATGTATTAATGCTGCTATTATAAAGTGCTTGTATGTATTAATAATGAGTGTAGCATATTTATTTCTGTAAATGTAATTTATTTAGTGCTATAATATTTCTTATTTAATACAACTCGATAAATCGTTTGTCTAATAATAATTTAGTTTAAGTTGCTTAATGCATTGGTGTTATTGTATTATATTCTTTTGTTAATAATGTAGGCATTTATTCCCCAACGTATAGGGAACATATTCATGTGCAATGTCTACCAATCCTACCATATATTTTATGTATTATATGAACAAAATAATTGTATGATTTGAATATTCAATGTGCTTTTTTTCATTATTTTTGCCATTATATTTTCGGGAACCACATTGCACTATTGAGGAACCTAATATTCTAAATATTAGGGTAACTTAAATAAATCTTAATAGTTTATGAGGTATTTATTAAATATATTAGTTAATAATATTATAAATTTAATTAATTTTTGTTGTGTTCAAATACGTCTAAATATATGAGGTTAAAATTAATTATGTGCAGGTGGATTAATATGTATCTGCGATACATAGACAAATATTGTTCGCTATTCTCTTATTTCGTTCGCGTATTTGGTATCTCAAATACATGTGAAATCACACCAGATACATGTGAAATCAAACATAATACATATATCTAGTGTGATTCGCAAGTATCTGAAATATATAGATAAATCTTCCTCGCCTTCCTTATGTTCTTGCCCACCTCTTTCTCCATTTCAGTGAATCTGATAACAAAAATTATAAATCTAAATATATTTAATTTTGAATTAATCTTATATGGCGAGATAAACTATAATTATTTTATGTAATTTGATAGTTTCACCTAAATATTATCCTTTGTAGGGTAGGTAGTTTTGCCACCACGTTCACGAGAATTAGTGGCTTTATTTGATTCATCTAGAGGTTTATTTTATTTATATATTAGCAGAATTATCCCCCATAACCATTAGTCATTGATGGCTATATTGTTTTCATGGTAGAGAAAAAGAGGGAGTCAAACATTTGAATATAGACAATTATAAAAAAAAAACATTTTAAAGATTGACACAAATTATTAGTTTTATTTTTAAATTATTGACGATCTTAAATTTTTTCTCTATTTGATTAATTATATTTAGATATATTTTTGATATACAATATGACATAGTAAGTGATTTCAAACTCTTATAGAAATTGAGAAAAGTACTGCATACACGCCTAAATTTGACGAGAATTTAGGAGTATATTTTACCAATGTTGCAAGATCGAGAATGTATATAATTTTAACTAATCAAATAAAAAATTATTTTTAAGGCGATAAATAATTTAGAGATAAAACTAATAATCTAGCTTAAATGTAGAGATATTTTTGATACCATAACTTAACACGTGGAAAACCAAAACAAAAACTACTACTTTGACTGCGGCTCTGTATATCTGAGTCTCAAACCCAATACACAAAACTGCAGATTTATACACACAGAGAAGAAGAAGAAGAGATCATCCCACCCCCACCTCCATTTCTACACCCACCCTACCAAATTCATCGCTGACCCATTTTACCTTTTCCCAAATCAACCCGACCCATTTGCTCAATTTCAAATTTATAAGACCCATTTTGGATAATTCCGGGTTGTTTACTTGTGTTTCCGGGTCGAATTCAGAAATGTAGGTGATTTTGGGAGACCCGAATGTGTTGAATTTCTTTGGTAGCATGCAACGTTAAGGTTGAATTCAGTTTTTGATTGAGAAGAAAATATGAAGAATCAATTGGTGAAGAGAGAGTCGATTGTGGCATGCATGAGTTGCCCTCTTTGTCACAAACTATTCAGAGATGCTACTACTATTTCTGAATGTCTTCATACATGTAAGTTGACTAATTTTGTTCCTTTTAATTATATTAGTTGTTTAATTAATCTGCTATTTGATTTGGGTTTGCTCCATTTGCATCGATTAGCTATGTGTTAGATACTTGGATAATACATAAACGTGTCATTGCTTCAGCTGACTATGTCTTCAAAAATTGTACAAAGTTGAACAGGTAGACACATGCGTGTTACGAGGGAAATTAGGGTAAAATACACTTGAACTGATTTATATTATGCCACGTAGAACGAGTGTGTTTACTTGTTTAAATTATACAAAAGATGCTAGCTGAGGTCAAGTTAAAGGGCATGTTTAAGGACTATGCCTAGATTCGTTGGTCGTTTTGTTTCAATGCTTTGGAGTTGTTTTTGTTACTATTGGAGTTATTTCTAGATTTGGGTTTACTCTATTTGCATGGATTTGCTTGTAGAACTGTGTATATATAGCTTCCTTATACATCTAAGTTTTTTATAGTGTAAAAAAGAAATCTTTGCACCATCAGTGTATGTAGCTTAAATCAGTTCGTTGAGGTATGTCAAATTCTCTTTGTAATGCTACGTGCACTGCGAGATTAATATTTTGTACTGAGAACCTTTGATTATTAATATGTTGATTGTAGAAATTGAAGCTCGCACACAGTTCCATAAATGGAAATATTTATTTGTGTCCTATATGCCTATTATATTCGTTGTGTCCACTAATGTGATCTCAGTAACAAATATATGCTTCTAGAGCCATTTCTGATTTTAGGCACATAAGCAAATTGGGGATCCTTAAAAAAGTGCTTCTGTTATATTTTGCGATAATTTCTAAGGTTAATTTCTTTATCATCCCCTGAGAAGCAACATCATGTGATTTCCGTAACCAGTATATATTGTTTTGAGACATCTTGTTGGATGAATGGTCTGATTGTTTGTTAAATTCATATTTAAAGGGAGAAATTTGCATTCTGGTTTGTGCTATGTTAAAATTGTTTTTTTACATCAATGCATTGTTTTGACAACTTTCTTTGGGAACTCCACCAAGTTTGCAGGAAATGCATATATAAGAAGCTTTCGGATGAAGATTGGGAATGCTGTCCAGTATGCAATATTGACTTAGGCTGTGTGCCATTAGAGAAGTTGAGGTCGTATTCTAGTTTTACATATTTTCTTCTTCTTTTTGTCCCGACACCTGGAACTTCAAGCCAAAGATTTCTTCTAAGTTTAGTAACTTCGTTCTTTTTCTTTTTTCACCATCAAGTAAAGTGATAATTTCGTTAATTTGCATCCAAAGTTTGTTGATGACTAGGAAAGCTGTGCAAATATTAGCTCTTGTGCGTGGTTCCTGTGATTAGTAGATATAATTCAAGGGGCTAACAGAATCCTAATTTATCAAGTCTATTTACATGGTCAAGTTTACACCAACCAAAAATGTTCTTTAAACATCTAGCCTTTAGCAAGTATTAATGGATCGTTTTCACCATTTAACTAAGTAAGTTCAACATAATTCTTCATTTTTTGCACTAACTTTGCTACTTTGTCTGTATCTATTAATATGCCTATTATTTTTCTTCTATCATTCCATAAATGTGAGGAGATTTCCTGACAATGTTTGTTGTTTCCTGTTCCTTTTTTGATTTGATTTTTCAGGCCTGATCATAAGCTAGAAGATGTAAGAGCAAAGATATTCCCTTATAAGAGGCGAAAAGTGAAGGAGCCTGAAATTATGCCTTCAGTTACATTGCCAGTTAGAAGGAAAGAGAGATCACTTTCATCATTGGGTGTCAGCACACCCAGAGTATCTACACATACTGGAATGACAGGAAGAAGATCAAAATCAGTGGCAAGAAAAGCATTACGCGGCTCTACCTTTTCCACTGAGAAAGCTATCAAGAATGAGGAAGATTATGGGGAAGAGTCAGATAGCTCTAGCTCACCAGACACTTTGACAAAGTCTTCTCAGAGTAAAAGGCAGGTAAAGTCATGTCCTTTGGACCTTATGTATGTAATTTTGAAGAATATGAAATTTGGAAAATGACCTAAATACTCAACGAAGACAGAATTGGCAAGAATATCCTATATTATTAACTTAGATACATAGAATGCATCGCATCGAGAATATTTTAATGTCTAACGGTATTAGTTCTGTTGGATTTTAAAATCCCACCTCAAACTCAAGGTAGTGAGCAACTTGAGTTTTCAACTGAAACTGTGAAGTCAATTGGTGTGTGACAGACAAGTTATTGTTGAAGGAACAACCAGCTGTATAATGTTGTCCAAATTTTGTCATTGAAATAGTGCACAGTCACCATAAAGAGAAGTGGTGCTAGAATCCTTTCTTCCTCAAAACTCTAGGATAACTGAAACAGCAAACGAAGTGCTTCTCGCATCACATACCGAAGGTAATCTGTTCTCAACCATCGGATTGAGGAATGGTGTTAGAAATCACCAGGACATCATCCGTGTAGCTTGAATTGATGGCTAAGAAGTAACGGAATAAGTTGATGGAATAATAACCGAAATTCAAGTTTTGAAGGAGGGACTTATTACCCAAACTCTAATTCCAAGAAGAGAAGGGAAGAAGGCTTTTCCAGAATGATTGCCACAAATTTAATAATCAAACTCTGATAGCATAGAAAAAAAGAGAAAAGTAGAAGGCCATTTAGAACCGTCACCAAAAAGTTCAATTTTCGAAGGAGAGCACCTTATACAGGAGTTTACTCTACTTAATAAGTTAAAGTTCAGAGTACATGAATTAAAAATAAGCTATTTTAGATAAGATAATCTATCTAAATACTGATATTCCTAACCATCTCAGAATTAGGAAGTACATACTATTAACGTATTCACACAGAGTGAATCTAGAACACTGAAATATAACTATATAAGTTCTCTCGACTCTCAGCATCTGAAATTTCTATCCATTTTTCCTGATAAGTTTTTCTTTGGTCAATGGTATCCCGATTTAACTGTGAATATTACTATATCGGTTGAACTCATGTGATTTTTCCAGAATTATTCCAATGCCGAGCCTTCTAGCCATCCCACATCGGACAAAGGAACTG